ATATCTTACAATAACTTTCAAACATCTAAAGGATAGATAATCGTGTGTTTTTAAACCGACTAGTCAATTTTCCTTCGCCTTCTTTCTATAAACAAAGTAACAGGAATAACAACAAGCAAAAAAACTGACAAACTTCTTCATTAATATATCGTTGAATTTTCAAAAGAGATGTATTTAGATAGCTTTGTTCACAGGTAATTTCGGAAAAATCGGTGTTGAAAATGCAACAACTCTAAAAAGACAGGAAAAAGGAAAACGATGACAGATTCGCACATCAGAAAAGGGCTTTAAATTTCAAATGTGTAAATAACCTGTTCAAATAATTGAAGTCACGTAAAATAAGTAAGCGCATAATATGAAGACTTGAGAATAACCTGATCATGTCTCTTGCTAGCAGCGTGGCATCATATGTCTTTTTTTCGGAAATTTGTAATGAGGAGAGAACGCCAAATATGGACTGCTCATCTTCACTTTGTTCACTTATAACACCGAATTGAGAGAAGTAGAACTGATTAACGTTTTTTTGTTGAGTTACGTATAGAGGGCATAAAATCTTACCATTTGAAGTTCTTATTGTTTGTACATATAGGCAAAATTCAAAATGCGAATAACCTTTTAAATGTAAATTGTTGGTCTTTGAAGAAAGAAAGTTTAGAGCTTTCTGTGAGTGGCAGCACTTGACAGGTGTCACGGGTTGATTTACAGTTCACAACTGGATTTATTAGCACTAGGAATAAGCCAAATTTAGCTTAGAAATAACAATAGACAAGCTTTATCATATTTAAATGTCACAAATCTTGAAAACAAAAAGTCTTTTTACTCTAGCTGTGCACATTTGCTCCAATGTACAATCCAGTAAACTTTTTGCTCCCAATCCCATTCAGCTTTCCTCTCAAATAACAAGAATGTTAGTTATCGGAGCATGATATCGATCAGTATCCCTGAATTGCAGGATAAATAAACTCTACTGCGTGGCAAAAATCAACAAAGAGATACATTGAGACCGATGTAATCTCAACATAAAAGAAATGTTAACCAAATCACTTTGAGATCTCTTTTTTAAAGAACAATCTTGCAAAAGGTAGAAGTAAAATTGAAGACTCTTTGCTAACCTAGTTGCTCATTTCGAAAAAATAAAAATACAGTCTTTAGGCTACAGATTTGAGGAGATCAATTGAGGAAATAAACGGCTATTTACTTTAATTCATAGAGTTATCAACATGGACTCCCAAAGTAAGCATGTAATTGATGTTTATGCGTGTATTCGCAATAGCAGATTGGACTTTGTCTTATTATCAGAAGAACGCAAATTACTACTTCAATTAAGGCAAAAATGGCAAAAGTGGAGGGATCTGTGGGAAAGGTTAGAAGCCCTAAGAGCAATTTTGTGCCATTAAATAAGGCAATAAAGCGTTTGAACGAGTGCTTTATTGCCAGGAAGGAGTATTTTACCTAAATAATTAATATGACCAAAAAATAAATGGAATTTTTAGCAACTCGAAGAAGTGAATATAGATTCATAACCGATTTTGAGATAGTACAAAAAGTCGGTTTTATAATTCATAATATCTTTTGTAACTCTCCAAGTTCAGTTGCGACTTTCCATTTAGGAGTCTAAGAACTAAGCAGACTCCTACAGATATGTCTTGAAAAGGACATTTTGATATACCACCAATATAACGCTTCTTAATGCATTTGTAATGAAAATATAGAAGGTCTGTTAATAGAATACCTCTTGAGACCTCCTCCTCTAGCTTTATGGGGTGGCTTAACCATGTATTCCCATTGTTTCAAATATATGTATCTTAATTAGTGCATAGAAATTTCGCATTGTAAGTCTCCGAAGACGTAGGCTAGTAGTGACATAGTGAGCACTGCAATAAAAGCTTCAATCATACTTTGTGTAAATTTATGAGCAACAACATTCAGCAATATGCGGAGATTTGGGGAAAAGAGGATAAGCAAATCAACAATTATAAAAGTTCATTTACTTGAAATCACTGTATATGTAAGCGAGTAAAAATCTCTTAAAGTATGGTAGACACTACAATTCAAGAAATCATTATACTGTTTGACTGAAAAAATCTTAAGAACTATCTTGATTGACTACAAAAACAAGCCTATTGGTAATATATGGTAAGTCAATCTTATAAATAAGATTGTGCAGCTCGAAGAAATTTGAGAATGTGAATGGAAATCCTTAAGAGCTTTTTTCTCAAATTTTTCTTCCTGC